TAAGCTGAGCAAAAAGGAATAGTTGGATGAATATATCTTAAGATAATAAGCCAAAATATTAGCATAATTTTTGGTTGCTCAGATAATCCTCCTATTTGTGAATGAATCACTAAATCAGGAAAACTTCCGAACTTGGCTTCAACTGAATTGGGATATTAATCCAAATTCAAACTAGAGAATCAAATGCTGTCTTTACCAGAGACATTAGTCATTGTTTCCCTGACTCAGGAGAACTAGGAAACTATAGCTTATGGAAGACTTTCTGGTTTGATGGTTCACTTATGCACATGGCCAGAAGGCACATTCACAGTTTGACTACTGAGTGGCCCAAGGTTATTCATTAGCTACATAACTAATCTTATTTTAATACCGTAATAATACAATTTGACTGTAACTGCAACATGCAATTGGGTTGTGAATCTTGACCCTTTCTATATTGACCAAGACATTTTCCATTCTCTGAGCCCATCATTACAGAGACACTGTCAATTAAAGCAGAACCATCCAGATACTTGAGTGGAGGAAAAGGAGAAACTAGGTTCTTCTGGTTAAGCATCTCTGCAAGGCATAAATTAACCGTGGCGGTGAACAACTGGTAACATGTAATCTGTATAGAAAAACAGGATGCTGCAGGCAATAGGCAGGTAAGCAGACAATTACCCTACACCTACAGTAACAGAATTAAAACTGAGTTACTGAACCACGCCAAGCAAAAACTAGACCAACATTTTGGAGGCCAAGAGCTGCACTTAGCATTATTTGCAGGGCTGGGGGGGATGAGTTCAGGGGTTTATTAGCTTCTTAAATATAATATGCCCATCTCGAAATGGCAGGAAACTCTTTGTCAGTTGGAAGCCACATGCTATCGTGGACTGTGGGTTGCCAACACGACCTATATCAATGAAGTCTTTTTAAAAGTCTGTTGTTAGCAGGGATGATTCTTTGAAGTGGAAGATCCCAGTGTTTGGGGAAATAGAAAGACTGCCTTACTCTTCCAAGCCCTTGATTCCCTTCATATATTCCTGTGTGGCAGTCAACATTTTTAAAAGCCTTCTAAAGGAGACTCTTCAAAGTCCAGGTAGACAGTCTGCCATCCTCCAGATACTGGCAACCATAACTTCCAGTAGTTCCAGTCACTCTGAGTGATCTAGAGGACCACACATTTGCACCATGCTTTAAACCTGGAGTGGGCCAATGAGAAGCTATCTATTGGATCAATTGTTTATCAGAAATAAATAGTTTTCATTATCTGAAAACCTTTGAATGCAGTCAGGGAAGGAGGGCCTATCAAGCCCCATACCATATGACCAAGGAGTTAAGAATCACACCAACTTCAATATGGAGTTTTAAAGCAAAAATTAGGGGCATGGTACAGGATCTTGGGAACTGTGACAGGAACCTCCAGCCCTCTTTTATTAGGGAGTTCATTAAGGTGCAGTCCTTGAATGTTTTGAATCTCTTCTTTCCTTTTTTTTGGAGGGGGGGAAGCCTGGACTATCTACTGTTTATGAAATAAGCTACTAATGAACTCTTCTCCCATCTGTTGGTCATTTATGTCTAGAGTTCCTCGTTTCCTTTTCAGCCTCCTCTAAGTTTTCACAGGGTCTTACGAACAAACTGGTGGGCTAGAGGGGAATTTTTCATTTCTGCATTAGACAGCATCATGCCTATCTGAAACAGCGGTACATCCATCATCCTTTTCATGAAGCAGCTTTCACTAGGAAGCATTCTCCACTACAACAGATCTAAGCCAACGGTTCTCTAGAAATCCCAGACAGAATATCTATCCTGAGTACCTGATATGCAGCACAGAAGTGCATTAAGTAACACTGTAAAACAACAACATTCTGGAAGAAGCATACATTTTATTATGTCCACACATGTTAAACTAGGAATTGTTTAATCATGGTTTGTTGAAAAGCCAGAATATTCTGGTTGACATATAATATGAAGCCATATTATATGTAGGTTCATATAACATGGTAGAGCAAAAGCAAACAACATTTTAGAATTATATATGAAACAGGCCACCAGTTATTGTTTAAGAGGCTCTCACATTGCACTGATCCTTTATTTGTTTGTATTTATTATTTCAGTTTCTAAGTTACTGGTCACCATGCCATATCCTGCCCATTCACCAATGACTCTAGGCAGTGATAATGCAGTTGTTGGTTTGTTTGGTTTAGTGTACTGTGCAAATCCAGCCATAATCCATGGTTTATGGTTTAACATGTTGTGGAAATTCAGCTAATTGTAGTTCATTAACAAATCATAACTAAACAAACTATGGTCAGTGTGATGTGTGAAGTCAGTAGGCCATTACCATTAGCCCACATTTGCATGGCCAAACATCAGGGATGACGGGAGTAGTGCATAAAGAGATTCTGATCAAGATACAAAGCAAAAGTTCTCTCCAGTTCTTTATGGGTCTCAGAAGCAACATCTAATCGTTTTCTAGTTGCCACCTCTATGTGTTACGTGAGGAAATCTCCCTACTTTACTATTTAAATCAGGGAAAACTCAAGGATTGAAAACCAGATTGTTCATACTCAGAATATGCTCATGAGTCACAACCATATTTTTTCAAGAAAACATGCTTGCTTTTGATAAGTGTTAATAGTTTCTCTAAATAGTCATAATTTGGAATATGGACACCTGCTGTTCTGAGAATGGAACATTCCTTGGAACTCTAGAAGGTTCTATTTCTCTTCTAGACCACATTGTTCTGGCCATTCTAGAGGTAGCCCAGCAGTTTCCCTGAAGTACATCTTCCAAACTAGTATTTGTTTATGGTATTCTGGACATGGCTGGTCCCACAACAGGCCTATGGCATCTCGAACACCATGTCCCCAACCCTACAAACTGTTTCTGGTTCAAAGGTCAAATTCCAGAAAACTGCTATCCACCCCACCCAAGAACAACCAGATTAGCATGTTCCAGTTCAAAAATAAATAGAAAATTCCTGAACAGCACATCCTTTTGTCATTGTGATTGCTGATTCTCAATCATTACTACACTCGACAACCTGGATATTCCCATAAATTATCACCTTCTGAAATCCTCTTTGAAATCAGAACAAATGATACCTATCTTATTAGTATAAACATCCATGTTATCTTACTCTATGTTCACACATATTGCTAAACCAGGATTTAAATAATGGTTCATTCAATAAGTCACAGAACCCCATTCACAAGTAATACTATACATTAATGATAGGTTCACACATCAAACCAATCTCCAAACAAACGAACTTCATTATGGCTTAGTGATAGCTGTGATGAAAATAGTTTCCAATGCACAAAGTCATCACAAGCCAGACCATACTCTTCCAAATCTCAGATGTTTGCAAATAACAAGGCCAGTCTCTGTACACCCTGATAAATATGCTAATATAAATGATTAAATTCAAATACCAATGATAAAATGTACAGTAAATTAGTCTTACTGGTAATTTAAAATTCCTGTTATTTTATATTGATCTATTTTAGTGACTATATCCTGCCCTGAGATCCATTTATATAGATACAGCAGGTTACAAACATTTTAATAAAAAATTGCTTCATAATTAAAGAACTAGCTCATATTGTGGTTGGGATAATATAGACTGCATTGTGAAACTCAAGAGGGGCCTGAGAAGGGCTCTAGGCTTCTACTTGATAGTCTTGATTTAAACTTTACGCTTTTTGGGTCCAAGTGTATTGGGTAAAGTGTGAAACTGTACTTAAGTCAATAGGTTCTTCCACACATGACGCACAATTAATTCTTGTTCCAACTGCTTTTCTTCCTGAAGGAAATTGCTTTGTTTGAAGAGCTTCATGGTGGGATGAACAATATGCCATAATTTAGTGCTATGATAGAGCCCAGGAGAACTTTGTCCAGCCATGAAAAAAGAGATTGCATGCACGAACCACTGCATGAACCAGTTTCAACATTGGCTCTCCTGGGCAAATCAGGACAGTAAACCATTGATTCAGTCTGGGTTCTTCAAATAAATCACAATTAAAAATAAACACATTTGCCCTACCTGACATGTTAATGTCAAAGTATTGTTCACTGAAAATGAAAGCAAATGCTTCCTTTCTCTTTTTGTTACTGCTTTGGAGAAATGAGACAAGATGAACTGAAGGCTTTTTCTAGCAATATACTGATATATCTGAATGCAGCTTTCTTATCTGATCAAGCAAACACAATATAATCTCTGCTTTTCTGTCACTTCCTCTATGTCTTTTATCAGAAATAGAAGGGGGTAGGGTTGAGTCCAGCACGACTGAGTTCATCTTGGAAAACAGAACGTGTGGAAGAGAGAGAAAGCAGTGACAAATATTATGTTCTAAGCATGGCACAACTGCTTTTTCAAACACAATTTCCTGTCCAGAAAATACCACCTCAGAAAAGACCATGTTTCTCAGTAACTTCCCACCAGATTCAAAATACTATGATATGAAGGCCATCTGTATTCATTGTGCTTCTTTTGTCCTCTCAACTTGGACTACCTTGTGGGCTCCCCAGAGCAGAAAGACAGGATTTATATATCAAACAAACAAAACAAAAAAAACCTAAACTTAGCAACCATTACCTCCGCCTAGCAAGTACCAATCTGTACTGGGATGGAGAAATATAGATAGATCTGGCTATAACAGCCATTCCGCTGCTAGTATTTGGGAACAGGAAATAGTGCTAGTGAAAAATCCCTGGAATATTTGCATGTCTTTTTTAAGTATGAATAGGAGGTTGCAGTTCTACACGATGCACACAGAATTACTCCTTTGGTTCCCAGGGTCAATTAAGACAACACTGGATGCTCTGAATCTACTAAGAAAGAGGTTTACTTCAGCCAGAATGTAACAATTATCTACAACTATTTTTCTCAATCTCAGCAACTTTAATTTGTGTGGACTTCAACTCCCAGAATTCCCCAGCCAGCACACTTCCCAGTTGAGAAACACTGAACTACAACATTCATCTCTCCACAAGCCACATACAGTGCATATACTCACCCACGTAATGCATATTAAAGGCCAAATACTTGTACTGGAAGAGGGGATTGTTGTTTAGGCTACTTCTTTGGATCTGCTGGAAGAAGGAACTGACATCCCATCGGTATAAGACGTCCAAAAGCATGATGCTTGGCACCCGTAAGGCCACATTCAACATTGCTTCCAATTTCTCCTTTGCAGCCATGCTGTTTCTTTTCTGAGATGTGGGGCAGACTGTAAAGAGCCAAAAGCAGCAAGTAAGTTTAACAGTTGCCACAGATGTAATACTGATGAACACTATTTATTTTTTATTTATTTCAAGATTCATAAGGCCACCCAACTCAGACTGTGTGACTCTGGGCAATGTACAACATAAACATACAATATATCAAAAAGAAGAAAAAACAACGAAAATGATCTAACAGCAAACAATATATAAATATAAGATGTAAAATAGCAACTAAGTACCCAACAAAGCAACTTCAGTGGGGACTCCCACTCAACTGACCCTAGCGCCTGGGGGAAGGGCAAGGTCTTAAGGGCTTTACTAAAGGCAAGGAGAGTTGGGGCTGGTCATATATTGGAGGGGAGATCACAAAACCACAGAAAAGCCATGCTTCCTAGATTCTGTAAGATGACAAGACCCCTGTGGGAGCATTTGGGGCTGGCAGATGTTCTTGGGAGAAGGTGGTCCCTCAATTAACCCATTCCTATGCCAGGTATCACCAGCACCCTGAATTGCACCCAGAAGCCTACCAGGAGCCAGTGCAGCTTGTGGCTTAGTGGTGTTATGTGGGTATAACAAGATGCACCCAGAACTACCCACACTGCTGTAATAGTCCAATTGGGAGGTGATCAAGACATGAGTAACCATGAGCAAGGCCTCCCAGTCCAGGAATGGGTGCAACTGGTGCACAAGATCCCTGGCCACAGATGCCACCTGCTCTTTGAACAGGAGCTATGAGTTCAGGAGAACCCCCAGATCATTCACCAAGTCTGAATGAGGTAATGCCATCCCACCCGAACCAAAGATGGAAACTCTGCAACTCCCAGATCTGGGAGACCCAAAACCCATAGCCGCTCAGTCTTAGTAGAGTTGAACCACAACCTGTTCTTCCCCATCCAGACCCTCACAGCCTCCAGACACTGGGAAAGAACCTCAACAGCTTCACTTGGACGTCAGGGTCAGAGATGTATAGCTGGGTATCAGCAGCATATTGTTGATAACTGACCTCAAACCAACATATGATCTCTCCCAGTAGCTTCATGTAGATATTAAAAAGGAGAGGGGAGAGGGCAGAGCCCTGAGGCACCCACAAAGCAGGGGCCTAGGGCTCAACCACTCCCCTCCCACCAACCAGCTTTGGAGAAGGAAAACTACCACAGAACAGTACCCCCCACCCTTAACCGGTCCAGAAGAATACCATGGTCAATGGTATCAAAGGCCACTGAGAGATCAAGGAGAGCCAGGATGGACACACCATGCCCATCCTGAGTTTGCCATAGATCATCGACAAGCGCAACCAAATACATCTCCATACTGTACCCAGGTCTGAATCTTGACTGGAAAGAGTCCATATAAACTCCATTTTGGTTATATGAATGAATTAATTTGAAGACACTGGATATATCTAATGAACATTCACACATAACGCTGGAATCTGTCAAGCTAAACTAGTCTTCAAAAGGAAGCACAAAAGCTGAACTTCTATTTTGACAGAGCACAGCTTGAATGAATAGTAGGTAGATAAATTGAAACACAGCATGATGGAAGACAAATACCACTATAGTAAACCCACAACTATGGATGGGGATACATCCCAAGTTACTTTTTCAATCATGAAAACAGTCTGACTAAAAACATCGCTGAAATAACAGAATGGAAGTAGAGTTATTTGACTGCCTCTCATCATTACTGAGTTTCCCTCAAGATATGAAAATAATTAAATGACTACCTTCACATTTTTAAAAATCAAGCCCAGAGATCATAGTCTTTACCACATGAAATAGCTTAAACTCACTCACAAACCTTGAGTGTTGTGGGGATCCTCACCAGGCCTTGTCTTCATTCCAGCAATCTTTAAGAAATGCATTTTCCTTTAGCTAAGGCACAGGTTTTATGTTCCAATAATTTGCTAATGATGTTCTGCATTGTCTAGAGTTCCTTCCCTTGTGAATATCTAAAAGACTATCTTTAGCGGGGATCATAAATTAATATGTCTAACATGTAATTGCCACATTCTAATTAATTATTTTTTTATTCTGGAATAGAGAAGATATAGGAGTTCCACAATATCAGGCTCTCCAATTAGGTAAATTTAATAGGAACCAAAGGGTGTAGGTTGAGTCCAATGCTAGCAACGAAGCCCCATGTGTGACTACATATTGCAGTTTTTTGAGCCCAGGAATCTAATATAATTCAGGGCTAAGAGGGATTTCGAATAGCCCCGTAATAAAAAGCAATAGTTCACATGGAAGCCATATGAAGCAAAGCTAACTTATGTTATATAACTTGGGTCAGCCATAAAAAAGGCACCCACGTTTATTTATTTTATTTTATAAATGTATAAGGCTGCCGAATTCTACAACGAGGCTGGGCAATGATATCCACAAAAGGGTAGATAAAAAATCAGTTATCTTTTTTTAAGAAATAAAATAGGGAGCTTTTTCTATTTAAATAAGACTTTTCTTAAAATGTATCATAAACATGTATATAATCAGGAACATAACTTCTAATAAATATTCTATATTACTTTCTAAAATGGAGATTTTTTTTAAAATAAACATTGTAAAATGGGGGGGGGGAGGCAGAAGATGTCCTACATTCTCTGAAAAGCACAGAATTCCTTTTTAGTCATAGCTTGGGAAAGGCTACGTGCCTTTTGAACTTTAACATTATTTGACTGCCCCCCAAGGTTTTCTATTGCCTCTTTCTTTCACCTAATCTCTATCCAATGTTATTCCTCCCTTTCTATGCCATGCCCTGTGCAGCTACTCCTTTCCCAACCTCATTTCTACCCTGTTCCCCCCACCTTGCCCCACCATTTTGGACTGGTTCTTCTGGAAGAAGGATGAGAAATAAGTAAGTGGGCCTGTGTGTGTTTATTTCTTTGTGTGAGATAAAATGGTTGGCACCTATAGACATAAACCAATTAATTTTATAAACCAGGTACCTTAGTTTACAAGCAATTGATTTTAACCATACTATTAATTCAATTAACATTATTTCTTTTGTTCTGACTCCACCCTTTCTTGAGAATGTGGCTTTTGGCAGGCATATATGTGTGCGTACATATCTGCAGGCACAAGAGTATAAAATGCACTTGCTTATTCAGCCAGGAAAAGTCTCCCAGATTACTTTCAGCGGAGCTGACAACTCTAGGATGACACACAGGAGAAGTTGAGCATTCAGCAGGATTTTTGTCTCTGTGATACTGCCATTTCTGTCTATTCCTGGGTGGAAGGGGCAGGGGGGGAGATCTTACATTCTGCCTTGATAACTGATCCCTTTGTAAAAGTGCAAAGATAAAGAAGGTCAATGAATATAGGAATTTTGGAATAAGGGAGACAATTTTGGTAAGGACTAGGGCTTCTGAATACATATCCATGGCTAGGGGGAAGGCACTGAAAGCAAAATACAAAGTGAATTCCTACAGCCCTGATCCTGAAGATTTGAGGGATAAGCTTCTGGTATATCCACCACTGACTAATCCTAAATATGGTAGCAGGCCATAAAACAGATCCCATTCTGGGGATATTTTCATGAACTGTCTATAATTGGGGGTAAGGAAAGTGCCTATTAAGGTTAAATTTATCTAGAAAAAATCTAACTGGTTTGTATACTATGTACCTTCTAAAAATCTAATCTGCAAGTATTGCTGAATCCTAAAGAATATAAATTTATGTTATGCCAAACAAAAATGCATTTTTATCAGAAATTATAGAATCTTCCTGACTTATGGATAATTGGTGCTTTAAATAATAAAACAAAGTCTTCTCAACTAGTACTTTGAACTGTAATTTATACCCATTTGCTTTATATCTATCCTGATTCACAGGGCAGCTATTCATATTCTGGGATCTTCCAAGCTCATAGAAGATGACTGAGCAAAAAGCCTTTGATGGATTCATTATTGGGAGCTCTAAAAACTGATTATATCTGTGGTACTTAATTTTTATTTTGTGGAACACTCCAGAGAAGTGCACTGGGGGCTCCAATGTTGAAGCAAGCTGTAAGCAACACATTCTCTGTAGTTTTAAAGATCTGTCTAGCTTTTGTGACATCACCTCTCTCTCTCTCCCGCCTCCCCTTCCCCATCCAGCACACAGCTGGGAAAGGGTTGGATTATTTTGGCCAAAAGTTTGAATTGATTGTTTGCAAAAAGCTTTTGAAATTAGGTCAAGAAACCCACTTATTTCCATCTGGAGTACTGCAAGCAGACCTATGCCAACAATAAATGAGTAACACAAATCACACACTAATAAATTACAGCAACGTGGAGAGAAAGATTCTGGGAATTCCAGTTCCAACATATCTATAGATGATGAGTTTAGTAATGATGACTGTATCATGATAGAGAGAAGAACCATCACAATGTCCCTTTATATTTAATGTACAAAATTTCTTATTTTATATCATCTTTTAAAGTTTCATCTTATGAAACTCATATATGTATGCACACACACACACACACACACTTACGTGCACACGTGCACAGACCCCTCCAAAAGTATCTGCTTTGCTGCAGAATATATTGTTACAACCAGAACCTCTGCCCCTTAGCCAGATATATTCTTGTGCCTGTCGTTGGAGAAGAAAAATGGGCAGAATAATTAAGATACTTTCATTTAGCTATAGACAGGTGCCTATTGTTCCAAGTCACCCACACTACATAGGTTGTGCTGTAACCTGTGCTCCAGACAGCCCATCATCTCCAGACAGGAGCTTTCAGGACTATTGCACTCCATCTTGGTTGTGCAGTTGGCACATTTACAGCCTTCAATCATTTCTTGTTAATGCACACCCCCTTAAAACCTGTAAAATTCTACCTTTACACACTGTACCTAACACCTAGAATGAATTCAGCAAACCCTTCCTCCAAGCAGACCTAGGGCTGAATTCAATAATGAACACAACCAGTGAAATGAAAAGTGACAGCAGAACGGATTCCCCCAAATTCTGCAAGCACTAACTATTTTTAGTTCCTGTTAGACAGCATACAAAGGGCAAGAAC